GTCATTGCGCCGAAGATGAAAATGAATGGGATGTACGACTTCTTGATATCCAAAAACAACCATCGTTTCATCTTCTTGTTCTTGACGAACAGATCTGGAAACCACTTTCTTTATCCAAGATTAATAGAAGCAAATACCACATGATTACCATGGTTCTTGTTTTTCACAAACAGATTTGGAAACCATCTCTTTTCAGTGACGAAATCCAAGATCCTTCATATGTTTTGAAACATGCAACTCAACCCCCATCATTTTGGATTCACCATATGCGATTTCACAATGTCTACCATCGTTTTGGTTGAGAGAGACTCTAAGTATCAAAATCATCTTTTATGTTCATCTGATTTTAACCCATATGCAAAGAAATCGACAAACCTCATATGCCAAGATCGAATTTTTTATAAACCTCATCTGTTGCCGGTCCATGAAACCCATTTGGGATCATTGAATTTCACCATGGCTTCCTTTATAATACCCACTCGCAGAGCTCCATTTTCAAAAAAAAGGGCCATCTAAAACCTAATGTGTAAAATATTTCTTCTCCTTAAAATCATAACATATTGTGTGATGGATAGATTGAGATTTCATTAGATTTGTTTAGGATTTTTTTCTAGGGTTTTCATTATAAATCAAGAACGGTAAGTATAGATTTGACTTTGGTTTTGGTTTCCTTTTAATTTGGTGCAGGTGTTAACGACGGTGGTTATCAGATCTGATTGGTGCTTCCTATATTATTTTGGATTTTCATATTTTGTGTGTGTGTGTGTGTATGAGAGAGAGAAAGAAAGAGAAGAGAGAGAGAGAGAGAGAGAGTTTAGAGACTGTGGGATCTTTTAATTTTTTTAATTTATTAAAATATAAAAATAAGTGAGCTGGCAAAGGGGTAACCGGGTTACCCTTTCGTTTTCTCAAAATGACATATTGGACCCGACAAAACCAATTTTGTTCCCTTAAAAGACACGGAAATAATATAAGGGATTGAATGTGATAACCCTAGAAAGTCCGTAGGCTATATGTGTCATTTTCTCTTTTAATTATATTATAAGATGTTTTGTTTAATCCATTTATTTGTTTTATGTTTTAAATTCATATATTTTACCATCAACATTTTGATATGTATTTATCATATTTCTTTGGATTTTATTAGTAGTTAGTTATTAGTTATTAGCTTTTTGCAATTAGTTATGGACGTTAAATGATTATGTAAACATAAACATATAATCATCCATTCATAAATGATTACATCATAATCAGTAAATTTGTCTACGTGTTATGGTTATTATGGATATAAGTGTAGACGTGAATAAAGATTTAAGGATGTCAATTGTTGTTTAAATATCATGCGAGATGGTCAAAATATATTCTCATTAAGGATTGATTGTGTAGAACCAACTGAGTTTGTGGTGTATCATTTGTATTTGAGGAGGCTAACCTAAAGGTTTGTGTGTCAACAAGTTGAAATGGAGAGAGAGGCTGCCTGGGAAGAAGTTCGAAGGCGTCGAAAACCATCGGCGAAAGAAATCAATGAAATCACCACGTATTTTGTTTCCAATGTACCAGAGGGTACCATGAAAGGGGAGATTAGAAAGGTGTTTAAGGATTCCGGGAGACTAACTGATGTGTTCATGGGGTTGAAAATTAGAAAAAATGGAAAGCACTACGCTTTCGTAAGATTCACGGGGGTACAAGACGTTAAAGAATTGGAGAGGAAACTTGATGGCTCGATTGTCAGAGGGCGAAGACTAGAGGTGAACTTGGCGATGTATGGAAGGAAAGACCCACCGGGTACAGGCAAGAAGATGAATCATGACAATCCCATATGGAAACAGAGAAACAATACCACCCAGCAGGTGCCGAGGTACAAGGAAGGATTCAGGGATCAGAGGACATTTGCAGAGGCCTTGGGTTACAATCGCCAGATTAAGAAAGATATTCCAATGGCCACCTACCCGCCACCACCACCACCTACTGTCATGCAAAGAGACCAGAGTATACTGAGTTGGCTTCGAAAAATTTCACTCATCGGAGAGGCAAGGTCACTCACACATCTGGGTCACCTTCCAAAGCTGTTACTCATCGAGGATGATGCCTACATAGAGTTCAAATACATTGGCGGTGTCACATCTGGCAAAATTAGGTTAAGATGTGAATTCCTAAACAATATAATCTCCTTGTATAAGCCCAAAAACTCGATCCAGTAAGCCAAACCCAATCATTTTGGGCCTTAACCCATAAATTCTCAACCTAATACCCTTATTGGACCAAAGACTTCCTTATTGGGCCCTATTGGGCCGATAACTCCTTCAATTGGTCTTTTTGGGCCGAAAACCCTTCATTGGGCTCTAATGGGCCGAAAATTTCTTAATGAACCAAGAACTCTTTTAGGCCAAGCCCAAGATTTTCTTTATTTCCCTCTCCTATTAGACCAATCAGCCCATTTAAAAAAAATGAATAAATAAATAAGAAAAGAAAGAGAAGACAAATACAAGGGTTGACTTGGTGGTGCCACCTCCCTAATACCCACCATACAACAATGCAACTATCAAATCAAGGTTCCTATAAGACAAACACCTCCTTCCCCTCCTTCCCTCTCTTATTCATGGCCAATACACACACTCACACACTCCACAAGTCCCATTCTTCTTCACCAAACACTCAAGAAAACAACCTCCTTATTCTCTTCTAATTTTCGAGTTCATCATCTTCAAAGACCAATCCTAGGCTTTTTGGTAAGATCTACACTAAACTCAAGTGTTTTGTTTCATATTTATGCTTAGAACATTCAATTTACACACTTTGTTGTGTGTCAAACTTCTTAGAACACCCATATTTTCAAGATCTCTCCAAGTTGTTCAAGCTAGACTCAAAGTTTCTTCTTCATCTCCTCCTACACTTAGAAAATCCCCAAGGTGAGTTCATACCCCCTTGTTTTCGGTTTTATAGTGTTTTTGGGGGAGAATACAAGTGCTTTTGTGTTAGATCTATGTATATATGCATGTTTATGTGTTTAACTTTTAGATCTTTACTTGAAAAAATGAAGTTTATCACTTGGATCTTCATAAAAACCTTGAGAAAAGTATGTGTCCTCACATATAATACTTGTAAACTTGTAGATCTGGGATTTATCCACTTAAAATAGAAAAAACAAGTGTTGTGAACAAACTTAGATAACTTAAACTCAAAAATCAGCCCTTGACAGAAAAGTTTTAGTCCAATCTCGAACTGTTTTGACCTCCTTAATGGTAATATTTTTCAAAACTGTTTTACATGAAAAAAGTTCAGGTTATTACCTTTAAAATGACTACTCTCACGTTTTCATACGATTTTTCTACTATTTTTGGCGAATTTTACAAAACTGCCTATCAGATTTGAAATAATTTCGGACCAATCTGTGTAGGTGTGCAATTTCACACTTGTTAGAGGCCAATAAAAAATTATGAGAAAAATTGTGAACAAAGTAGACAAAATTTCCAAACTTCCAGAATTTACGGATCCAAATTTCGACTTACGATGATTTTTCTACAAATTTTCCAACAACTAAGTCAGAAAAGCCAAAAACCAGAAAAATGTGTATTTCACAAAAATCAAGCCAAAAATGATATTTTTGACAAAAATGGGTATAAAATGTTATTTTTACCACAAACTAGTCATAAACACAAGTTTTGAACAAAATGGGGACTAAAGTGTTATTTTTACTATAATTGGGCCTTAATTGAAAACTTTGTGACTTATTGGGCCAAGAACGTCATTTTTACAAAAAGTGGGCTTTTTATATCAATTTTGTAAATAATCGAGCTAAAATAAACAAAACAATAACAAACGGGTTAAAAACGATTTTCTTATCCTTACTGGGCCTGGAAATAGTATACATGTTTAGTGGGCCTTAGTGTCCTTTTACATGTATATTGGGCTCAGGGTAGACATTCACATTCCTTTTGTGCCTGGAAATAATAGATACGTATAGTGGGCCTTAGTGGTCCACTTACATGTTTATTGGGCCTGAGAATGAGTTTTATATGTGTTCTTCTTTCTTTTCCATGTAAATTTTCGATTAAGGATCTAGTGAGACCTGTCGGTTGGCACCTTTGAGTGTACAATCGTAGCCTGTAGTTATAACCAGAGTTTCCTGAAGGGAAAGCGGGAGTTTGTGTATAGATCTATACGGGGGTGACACCCCACACGTGAGCTGTTCGCTACAGTTAGACTAGGCCAGTTTAGGGTGACAAAAACCTTATTCTATTCCGGCGGCGTCCCAAAGACGCAAAGACAGGCGAAATTGTCATTATTATGTATGGTTATAGCGACTCACTTAGAGGAATTAACGTTATAAGATTTACGGGAAACTATTTTATTTTCTTTATTAGGATAAAACAGGAAACTATTCTATTTTCTTTTTTGGGATAAAACAGGAAACTATTCTATTTTCTTTTTTGGGATAAAACAGGAAACTATTCTATTTTCTTTTTTGGGATAAAACAGGAAACCATTCTATTTTCTTTTTGGGGTAAAACACCGGGGTTGAGATTTCAGCATTATCTATTGCAGACAACATCGGGTTGTCTGGAAATCATTCTCTTTCTATTTTTGTAACCATTAACACACATGCATTAATATAAGATCGGACACAAATAATTCAAACCATTTCTTTTTAGAAAGTATCGGATATTTTTGAAAGCACTTTGAAAACGATTCTAAACAAGTACAAAAACCATTTTTATTCAAAACTGCTTATGAACTCACCAACTTTTTAGTTGATGCTTTTCAAAACGACTTGTATTCTCAGGAATTCCAGTAGCAGGTAATAAGTTCGACTATAAGATCAAGTGGTGCGACTTCAAGAAATTTTACTTTCTTACTTTTGTGTAACTGATGAACAAGATTCAATATGTAAACTATGTAAGTGTGTATTTCCAATGTATGATGTTTGGTTGCTATGTTTCATTCATATTCAATTGTTATGATACTGTACACGAAGTCATCCGCCCCCGGACGTTTCCGCCGTCCAGGTTCGGGGGTGTGACAGGTGGTCTCAAAGTACTACTACTCTTCAACGACTCGATCAAGGCCAGAAAGTTTAAGGAAGACAATAACAGATGGAAGGAGCACATGAGATGGGTTGAATGGGGAGATAAGATACAACCCACATTTGATAGGGTTGCATGGATACGGATTGTAGGACTGTTTGGTTGTCAAACCAACAAATAATGGGATAAAAATAATAACAATAAAATTCAAGTCACTGTTACTTCATACACTAGAGATAGTATAGAGTAAGCAGGGTCGGTCCACAGGAATACGGGACTTCTTATTTAGCCATATTCTCACACATCATACAAACAAAAATTAAAATGGGGGGTTGTGTTTGAACTCGAATTAAACTTCATAAATAAGCAAGATTGATAACAAAAAGCAGTCAAAGAAGTACATTTCCGATTCTGATTCCTATACATGTATTATGTTGAAAGATGTAATATGATTATAACTCATGTTCAATCTAGGTTGGTAATTTAGATATTAATAAACTCTAATATCCAAGTTGACAAAAGTATTTTATTCAAAACAAGTTCTTCAAATAAAACTTCATTTAATTGATTCAATCCAAACAAGCTCTTGGATCAAATCATTAAATGACATTAAGTTCTTGTAACAATTACCAACAATGTTCAACATTCCTCATAACCTTGGGATATGAACATTTAATCTTTGATTACACTGATTTTGATCTAATTACAACCAATCAAGTGCATGTTACTAACATCAAATCATAAAACATATACGAATTTCACAATTTGATTAACTAGATTGATAAGAACCCTAATTCATTGATCAAGTGAAAAGAGAACCAATCAAACATGTAATTAAGTCGAAATCAAAGATTACTAGATAATAAACATAAAGTCAAGTGCAAATTACAACTTAACAACAAACACTTAGGAATCCAGAATCAGAAATGATTGAGAAATTAGCCACACATGTCTAAGTTAACTACAAATCTAACAAGTATGATCTTCAAATCAACTTACAAAAAGCAAATTAAAGTGTTTCCAAAGTGTTAGATGATGATATGATACACCAAAATCGCCCCCCTACAGTTCCAAGTCGAAGTTCTGTTTGAATATATCAGAAGAACATCCTAAATCGGAAGTTAAGAATTTGAATTTCAATCAGATCACGTTACACGGCCCGTGTAACACATGCCTTGCCATTACACGGCCGTGTAATGACTCTGATGTGTTGAAAAGCTTCCAAAACACGGCCGCGTAACGTATGCCTTGCCAAAGCGCGGGCCGTGTAATGACTCTGTAAGATAGTCAATCTCCAATTTTCTTCATTTCTTCAATTTAGCTCCGAAAGTTCCGAAATTTCACCGAGAGCTTCCCTTGACCATCCTAAGCATGCTCCAATCTTCAAATAACCCTGAAACATCCACAAAAAATGGTGAAATATCGATAGATCCTCGATAATGTCCTTTAATGCAAAATGAATGAATATTATACTAAAAATGCAATGCAATGCTATAAATAAACATGAAATTAGCTTATGAAAAGGTGCAATTTATGCACCTAACAAATCTCCCCAAGATTGAACCTTTTCTTGTCCTCAAGAAAACAAAATAAAAATTAACCTTGGAAGAGATGAATGCAAATGCAAATGAAGAAATGCAAACATAGAAATAAAAAGAAAGAATGCCTCAAGTTATTTATCCCGACAACATAATCATGATTAAAGAGTTGTCAACCTATACCCCAAACAAATACGAATGTACTGCATTCCAAATCGGGACAGTAGAAGACTTGGAACACAAAGATTTGCCAACCACTTGGATTAATTGCATAGAACCATAGTATAAGGCATCTGCTAGTAACTTTTATTGTCAAGGTAGGTGCATCTCAATCTATAGGGCGTGCTCACTGAAGCACTCAACTCGTGTATGCACTCATTTCACAAGATGTGTGAACTCACTCCTATCAAAGAATCTACACTCGTTATTTAAGGTGGAGGGCACTCGGCGTCGGTAAGGCATATCCCATTCTTCTTAGTTTTCTCCCCATGATCTTCAATAGCTTGTGGTTGCACAATCTTCATATCTTCTTCCAAAAATCCGTGTCAACTCTCGGTAATCCACAATAGGAGATAAATCCATAACCATATCAGGAGCGCAAAAGAAATATACAACAACAACAAATATACAAAATAGAAT